ATACACACATACACATACACATACCTTTACCTTGACAGCTGGGATGAGAGCCACTGTTTGTGCTTGCTTGCTCACTTTTTCAGTATCACCTTAATAACGGCTTATGCAACATCATGGAAATGCTTGGGTGTGTCTCTGTCACTGATGCACACACAGTGACACACAGCGAGTCCTTAGTCATCCACTCTATAGTCTTGCATAGCCAGACTTTTGACTATTGGCATAGAGTCACAGGCTGGAGGTCTGGCCTCCTGAGACTCTCCACTCAGCTCAGCCTGGGTAACAAAGAGGTCGCTTAGTTGTGTCTCGATTGCATCATTCGTATAGAGCCCCTGTGAAGAGTCACTGGGCTGTTTGATAATGATTCAGCAGAGGCAGCACTCTGAGACTAGCTTGGCTAAAAGGGGAGATCCTGATGAAGGGTGGGGGGGGGCAAGAATAAAAGACATATAAATAAGCACAACAAATGGGAAAACAAAAAAGGGGGAAACAGAGGAGACAATGCCAAAACATTAAAAGCACCGGTTAATTGAAATTCTACCGGCTGTGTGTGTGTGTGCATGTGAAACAACAAGAGAGAGTGTATATTAAGGTTTGCTGTGTGTGTGTGTGTAGTGTTTTGAGTGTGAGAAAGGAAAGAAGGGAGCTTGTGTGACTGTATATGTGTGTTTGCATACCTCTGGGGTGCTGGTGCTGTTCTTTTGATGTTGCCCACCCTGCAGTATGAGTGGGCTGTGTACCATTAGACATGGCTGGTTATGCAGACCTCCAAACCTTCGGGCTCACGGGCCACCAGAGAGAGGAAGGAGTAGGGGGGAGGGAGAGAAGGGGGTAGAGTGGTGGAACAGAGAGGAAAATTGACAGGAAATTAGGAGGAAATTGGGATGGACACAGACCCGTAAGGACAAGGAAGGAGTGCTGTGGGAAGTGTGCGTCTGTGTGAGAGAAAAGCATTAACATATCCATATAATGTTATGATCAAAGAAAGGAAAAAGAACATTAAGAATGTACATCAGCGTGTAGGTAAAATCTCCCAAAATGTGCAGCGATTTGTTGCAGAACAAAAGAGGTTTGCTTTGATATAAAGTGACTCTTGCTGTTGCTCTTTAAATTCTTAACTCAATAACTTAAGCAATAAGTGTGACATTACATACAACACTGGCTAAAGCAGATGTTTTGTATCTGGGTCTGCATCACAAGTAGTTTTGATTTATGATTTGTGTGTGTCAGTGAAAGAGAGAAGGCATCATTAATCAATGATGAGTCATGCAAGGCTGTCTGAAAATCCACTGATCTTTTAATTCACAGGATGGAGAAAAGATGTGGTGTATGAAATGTAATCAGACATAATTATTTGCCCTAGCTATGCGGCCGATCTTTGACCTACGACTGTCACATGCCATCTCGCAGCCCACACTTATTTGTGCAGTGTTTGAAAGCTAAGCAGCCTCTAATAGAGACGTGTGGCATCCAATTTAGCTGTTCTCAATCAAAGAGTTAATTGAGATAGATGGTGATGCAAGATCCATTACATTTTCTGTAATACCAGTGAGCAAATCAAACCGGCCTAATTCTATGCTGTGCTGAGTGCCTGTGGATTGGTTGGTTTATTATACAGCAGGGTTGCGGTCAATGCACATTTAGCACAGCCATTTCAGAAAGTGGATGTCCTTCAGAGTTCTCACAGTGAAAGCATTTTGGCATCAGCAGGATGAAGTATCTAATTGGAAGAAATGAAATAAAATGAACAGTGTGTCATCATCAAAATATGTTGCAATGTTGTTGTACATTGAATTTGTTGGAGTTAAAACTAATTTATTCCCTCTGCTGGTAACTTCTGCTGCATTATTGCTTCACACAAAGGGGCTGCTTGGAAGCCGATGGCCTTCATTTATGATTGTTTTCTTGTTTCTTCTCTTAAGATGAGTTTGTACAGAAAACGTTAAGCTCAAATCTGTGCAGATAAACATTTTATTAAATGAAGTCTATTGTTCTTTCTACATTGCGCCCTCTGCTTTGCTCAATCATTTCGAGGCCCTTTCATTGTGGACTGTAAAGGACACAACTGCCAAACTAAAGCCTTTATCGTGTTCTCTACATCTTATGCCTGACAGATTTCTGAATGAGATTTTTAAGTGTTTGTCTCACCATCCATTGAAAATGCCAATGGGCTATATCATACATAAACACAAAATTCACAACCATTGTTATGTAGATGACACACAAATGTATGTCCAATTAAAAACCAGTGAAGACTTTCATTAGTTATTATGTTAAATGCCCTTCAACTAAATTAAAACAAATGTGAAATCATTCTCTTCGGTCCTTCAAAACACAGAAGAAAATGAAAAAAACACAATAAAAAGGTAAAGTAATTTGCTGTATGTAATGTAAGTGATCTTTACTTTCAGAAGTTATAAGTAAAAATCAGTTGAAGTTTGAACTTTTGAAAAGCTAATTGAATTGCCTAATTATCTTTTTGTATGCTGTATTCTTCACATCCAGTTTCAAATTAACTTTGAATCATGAGCAGGCTTGTATTTTCTCAGTGTTACTCACTGTTTTCTAGATGTAGTAAAGCTAATTACAGTATCTGTCACACCTAATTTACTTTCACTTTCTGACTCTTTCTTGCTGCAGTACATTACCTGGGTTCACTGGAAGCCTTTGTATCGTGCAGCACCAGACCGCAGAGCAGCATGGTGATCAGCTGGAGGGAAAAGGAAAGCAGAACTCTACGAGTCACTTCGTTCTTTACAAAGAGGGGTGTGTGGGACATGGACCACCACCGTGGACTCAATCTGATAGGTGGGGACCACTATGTACTCTGATGTAAAAGTAATTGTTCATCCTCAACTTGTCCATTTTTATATTAGCCTAAACTTTCCATACTATATACCATATGATACTCTAGGGCTGGGGAATATCCTCTAAAATCAATATTGCGATTAATTTCCACATTTACCTCACAATCAATCTATAAACTATATCTTTCCTGTGCACGAAAAAAATAAACAGAAAATCATTGATTATGACTAACATATTCAGTAAAATAACACGTTTTAATATTTAAAGAAATCAAACTAAAATATGCTATTTTTCAAATCACTATCAAAATAATTTATATTATAGATATAGATGAATAACAATTATTTCATTCCATCAGCGGCATGTTTTAGGGTCCTGAGGGACATTACTTTAACAAATGCTTTAGCCTCCAGACTGTGGTGGCAGAGCAGAGGGGAGACTCCTTTACAGCACCACACTGAAGTTGTTGCTAACTTCGGGCCTAACCTTCCTGTCAAGCTACTGGTAAACAAAACTCAGGAACTCTGCTCGGCTCTTGAGGAGCTGTTGCATTTATTTTCTGACAAACTGTAGCTCATAGTGAACGTTCACTGTTACATTCAGTACAGTATTACAAGTGTGCTTGTATGGCCGCAATAACATCTTTTGACCTATTAGCACTTCCTCATCCGTAGTTGTGCCTATAGCTGCATTTGTCCAACATTTGAGTTTAGTCTTGCTGAGTTAACCCAGACATGCATGGTTAAATTCATCGCTTGCAACTGCTGGTGGAACAATGTCAACTCGATTTATGAAATGAACCTGCACAGCAAACTGACTGGTTTTGTATTTAGACTTGTAAAGAGATCAGATTCTTTGTTCTACTTAAGGGGTAGATGGCAGCCTGTATGAGGAAATATTGTTATGTTTAGATTAACTGCCCAGCCCTATGACATCCTCTATCAATGGACTCTCATTTTGAGAGGCAGAATGTATGTGCCTTGGTTGCTTAGCATGGTAAAAAAAAAAAAAACTAAATCTACAATTAGCAAGTTAGATTACCTAACTTGCTTTGAAATTGATTCGAAAAAAGAAAACAAAATGCATTTGTCTGTTACCAGTTTTGAAAAAAAAAGTAATTTTTTTTAACTTCGTCCAGCAATTCTCTTTTTTCCATGCAAACCAAATGCCTTATAATAAATTTCTATGCATACACAAAGGCATAAAGAGGAATCCAAACTATGAAATGCCTTATTGAACATTGATTGTGGGGTTTGGGGGGGGGGTAAATATAGTTTCCTGAAATTAACTGCAGTTAGCACCTTTGCTAATTTGGTACATTCTGGTTGGTTGCAGCTACAGCAGGTGTGGATCATCAGGTCTTGCTGTGGAACCCTTATGTGACCTCAGAACCAGTTTGTGTGCTAAGTGGTCACACAAGCCCTGTCACCGCAGTTTGCTTCATGCAGAGCAAGCAACAACTGCTCAGCTTCTCTAAAGATAAGGTAGGAGCGTGTGTGTGTAGATCTGTGTGTGTGCAACTCTCTGCTAGGATAATGTAATGATAAAGAGCCCTATCATTGTAATATTAATTGTTATACCTTGCTATAATTACTGCAGAGGAAGCAGGCCGTGGTGCAGATGATTGGTAGCCTGTTTCACACTGTTGCCATTGTAAGAGCTAGCATTTCTCACAATTAGGACCACATGTCCTTTAAACCCTTCTTCTTTCTGATGTAAAGAGGATGTTGGTGCTTCTGCTGCTTTTGCTTTTCTTGTGTAAAACTGTGCATGTTTGCCTTCTTTTCGGTTTTTCTGAAGATGATGAATATTTTAGAAGTGATTTATGTTCCATCTGCCTTCTGCTCAAACACCATCTGCCATTGCAAGAAACTCTAAAAGCTTTACCTCACTTCCCTCTGGAAGAGTTCTTGGAACAGCGTCAGTCGTCACACCAACATTGTATAGAGTAACCATTCTTCTTGGCAATTATTGTGTCTGTTTTGTAATTATGATGATGTCTTGTGATCATAAATATCCATATAAAGTAGTTATTATGTTTTTTGTTTTTTTGTCTTTGCCTGCATGTGGTGATTTATATAGCTTCTACCCCTATGTACATTTTCCAGGTTCTATGTCTATGGGATGTATCGAGTCAGCTGTGTGTTCACCGTCTGGCCGGTGTCTTCCCAAAGACGCAGGAGGACACAGACACCCTCCTGTTCCTCCATGAGGAACGTCAGCTCCTCCTGCTTTCCTTCAACAGCCTGCTTCTCCTGCTGGAGACCATGAAGGAGGAGAAGAGGACCAGCAGCCACGAACACCCTGTGACCTGTGTACTGTATAATAGTCTGTTCAGACAGGTATGCAGGTATTTTTTACTTTAGACACATAGCATATATAGGCAGACAGTATAGATGTTACAAACTGGATGTGTAGTATGGGCTAAATGTATTAACTGAGCAGACATCTCAGATACTGATGATTTCTACAATAGTTGAAAGTTCACTTTAGACCTTGTTGATTTAGTAGCTGTTCTGGAGCTTTTAATCATATCATATGCTCTACATTAATAGATGGAGTTTTGTCTTATTGCCGTGTAAATATAGATGTTCAAATTTCCATTTTCTTTGAGCACTTGATGGACTTTTTGTCCACTGTTCTCATCCATCTGCTGATTAAGATCATGTAATCTGATCAAAAGCTATAGAACAGTCATTAAAAGGACCTTGGGTAGTTGAGATTGTTCTTTCAGTTCTACAATAGTTTGTTCAAACAATTAAATGCAAAATACTTTGTAGGCTGTGATTGTAAATCATCATATGCTGACTTCATTAAATGTGTGGGAATGCTGTCATGGTATTGTTGGAGCTACATTTAGTTAACACTTTGGTTTGATACAGTTCGGTATAACTCAGACATTAAAGGGGACCTATTACGCTTTTTTTTCTGTTGACTTCAGCTCATCATGGATTTGCTTATACTTTATCTGCTAAATGCAGAGTGCCGCTGAGCGCGGCCATGAAGGGACCCACTCAGTCTGTCTAAATTATCTGCTCAGGCGTCAGGACTAACACTAATACTGCCCCAGTGCTCTGAGCTCCCAGTCCCGACAGGGTTACCTAATAAAGATGGCTATGGCGGCACAGTTAGTGGTTAAAGTAGCTAACCACTAACAACAGTAGTAGGCTAAATATAGTAAGGCTATATTTCTAACAGGACTCATGAAGGGCCAGTATAACATACAATAAGGATGTTTTTAAAGAGTTAATCATGCAAAGCTACTCTGGTGAGAGTATAGAGCTGGAAATGAGCATAATAGATCCCCTTTAA